TTGTTATGTCAGAGTTATGTCCCGGACTAAATTCTAAGTGTAAAAATGAACAAAGGGCAATAACTCCAAAAAAGCAAGGTAGAGTTATGTCTTTTTGCACTACCCAATGAGATCTTTCTACTTTCAAAGTGTCTTATTCATATTCATTATACTTTCAGAAGTATGTCCTGGACAATGTTCAAAGTGTAAAAATGATCAAAGGGCAATAACTCCAAAAAGAGGCAAGGCAAAATTATGGTTCTTTTGCACCGCACTTCTACTTAATAACATCTATCTACCTAGTTAGTTTCATGTTGATATAGTTTTGAGTTATGTCCCGACAAAGTTCAAAGTATAAAATGAACAAAATGCAATATCTCTAAAATTAGGCAATGCAGAGTTATAATTATTTTGCACTTCACTTCTTCTCAATGAGATCTATCTACCTACAAAGTTTCATGTTGATATCTCTTATAGTTTCGGAGTTATATGCCGGACAAAGTTCAACGTGTTAAAAATGAACAAAGGGCAATGAGTCCAAAATAGGACAAGACAGAGTTGGTTATGGTTCTTGTGGACTGCACTTCTACTCAATGAGATCTACCTTCCTACAAAGTTCCATGTTGGTATCTCTCATAGTTTTAGAGTTATGTCCCGGACAAAGTTCAAAGTATAAAAACGAACAAAGGGCAATAACTTCAAAATTGGGAAAAACAGAGTTACGGATTTTATGCACTACACTTCTACTCAATGAGATTTATCTTCCATTGGTATCTCTTATAATTTTAGAGTTATGTCCCGGACAAAGTTCAAAGTATAAAAATGAACAAAGGGCAATAACTCCAAAATTGGGCAAGACAGAGTTATGGTTCTTGTGCACTGCACATTCCAAATAATGATCTACCTACACAGTTTCATGTTGATACCTCTTGTTGTTTCAGAGTTATGTCCCAGACAAGAATAGTGGACGGACGGACAAAGCGGCGACTATATGCTCACCCTTCGGGAAAATGAAAGAAACTCAAAGCACTTCGGTTCCAGTAGTTAAACAATAAGTTCATATATGGGTGTAAAGTGTTTCTTAAGATACATGTATTTTGCTTCAAAAGTGAAGCACGCTGTCCTACAAACAACCTTTTTTAAAACACCTTTAAATCATGTTTCTGGGTTTTAAAGCAGCACGCCTCCAGATTCACGCTAATTTTCATGAAAATTTTGAAAATGTATAATATTGTGAAATAACCAAAAGGAAGCAATTTGCACATTTTCAATGGCACTAACAACCCACGTAAATTACCCAAAAAAAAAGTCAAAATATTCATAAATAGCCCTTACTGCGTTAGTAACGCAGTAGAAATATAGTTGAAAATATTGAAAAATCAGTCAGTAACCGCAAATAACATGTAAAATATTACTTGCATCTTGAATCATTTTACTTTTCCTAAAATCGTAGTACATATTTCTCAAGTTTGATTTTATTGAAATATTTTGACTCATCTGGTGGCATGCAGCTTTAACGTACGGAAAAGATAGCTGCAAGAACACAACAGCAATTCATTTCAAGTTTGAAGTATGATCGGTATTGTCCAAATATAAATTTAGATATATAACTATCTTACATGGTTGTATTACCTTTGTAAATAATCATTTAAAAATGCGGGAAAAAACAACGAAAGGAACGTCATGTATGTTTGATAGATTGATATAATTTAACATTTGAAAGTTAAAAATTAAAGCATACATGACTCATGCAATAACTAAATGCAAACAAAGGCCTAAATTTGACTGTATTATACTTTATTGGATAATATATACGTAGAAAATCATGAAGTATTAAACAAAACAATACAAGTGTCTTGAATAACTAAAGAAACGAACTAAATTGATTAATCTGTTAACAATGCTTGTTGTATAAAGTTTTGTTTTGTTATTTCTCTTGTAAGTATTCAACAATTAAATGTTTATAATTATTGTATGAATAATCCATAAAGATCTTGATTTGATTAACATAACAGAATATATAAAATTCTTTTTTTTTTTTCAAAGATCGTCCAGAAAACGCTGATCTTAAAAATAAGGGTCTCGTATTTCCTCTCCGTTCTTCATACCTTCTTTAACGGATAGTATTGGAAAGTTCTTCAATCGACAGATCGCCGCCTCTATTGTCTTCAAACACTTCCAGATTATATTTGTGATATTCCAATATGTTAAGATCTTCCCTATTATCTTCAAAAAGTTCCAGATGTCCGCGTTCTTCGTTAAAAAGGTCCAGATATTTGCGTTCTTTATCGAAGAGATCCAGATAATCTCTTTCTGAATCAAATAGATCCAAATAATACCGTTCTGAATCAAAGAGATCCAGATATTTTCTTTCTGAATCAAAGAGGTCCATATATTCTCTTTCTGAATCAAAGAGATCCAGATATTCTCTTTCTGAATCAAAAAAATAAAGATATTCTCTTTGTGAATCAAAGAGATCCAGATATTTTCTTTGTGAATCAAAGAGATCCAGATATTCTCTTTCTGAATCAAAGAGATCCAGATATTCTCTTTCTGAATCAAAGAGATCCAGATATTCACTTTCTGAATGAAATAGATCAAGATAACTGTTATATTCCCCTTCTGAATCAAATAGATCCATATATTCTCTTTGATCATCAAACTGCCCTCCAAACATTGCTTCTCCTTTTGATACTCTGTGTTATTTTGCTATAAGAGAAAATGTCAACTATCCCTTAATACACGATTATGATATCCAGTAGTTTTGATATGAAGATATGAAGAGGATAGATGATGAATGGGGGGATCCACCGTCAATTTGTTTACATAATGAGGTAATAATGGTCAAATTTGACAATAGACAATTACGACCATAAAGGATTAGGCGTCACATAAATATGGTCTGAAGTAGACAGTAGGAAAATGATATCATAAAGGATTAACTAATTCGGTCAAAATATACAAAGGAAAACTTTAATCAAATTATTGGTTTAAACTATGAATAGAAAATTAGGACAAAATATTTTTAACAAGTCTAGACCAGCTGTGGTCAACCCATCTAATAAACTACTTTAGTATCTGGTATTTCTTCCTCTTGATATTGTATTTACTATCTCATGTATCCGCCATCAGAAAAATGTGAAGTTTAATCAATTGTTTACATAATGACTTAAGAGTGTGTACTTTATAACAATAGAACAGGTAACACTCCAAAAAAGTCAATCTTATACATGTAAATGCAAAATTTAACATGCTGTATTTTTCAAAAAATGGACATGTCATATTTTTGCACATGTTTACAAAAAACAAACCTATGCCAGCTGTTTTGTATATAATTCTCTACGCATCACATCCAAGGCCACAGATCAAAATAGGTCAATTCAACCACTCATTGAAGGCAAGTACTTTCTCTGCGTTCATACAATGCTTGATCTAATTAATTTACTGTGTATTTCTAATTAAAGCAGTAAATTTGATGAAACTTGATAGTCAGATATGGGATACATACAAAAACAAGTTACCTTTAATTTACAAATTCATACCCAATTATAGTTTTCTTTTAATATAATGAGGCCTGTTTTGTCTCAGTTTTTATCCAATGGTTTCAACACATACATGTATCTTTAGAACTAAAACAAAACAATAATTGTCAATGAATAATCAATTCAATTCAATTCAATATTTTGATTCTGCAAAAACATATAAATGTTCATCGCCAATAAAAGTTATATAACACATATATACAATGGCGGTACAAATACAAAGAGAAAAGCATGAAGTCATATTAATTAAATCAATCAAATTCTTTCGACAATAACAAAACAAAGAGATTCTATATGATCTATAACATACATCCATATTACACATATCATTCGGGTTTTCATTAAGTGATTTTTTTCTATATCGAGTGCAAATAAAAATCTTTCTGTTACAAGCAAATAAATCTTTCTGTTACCAGCTAAATCTTGCTTTTATCACATTTATGGTATAAATCTTAACCACAAAATGTGCTTACCTTATAAAACAAACAATCCTTTAAGGATGTATGACCCGTATGACCCCACCTGTAACATATATTTCACCCAGGTAATAAAACCACAAAGGGACGCCTTTCTATATCGATGAAAGTGTGATTTCGGTAGTCTGTTATGAACATTCATTTATTACATGGAGAAATTTTATAAGATTTGGTTAACCACTTTTAAGCAAGGATAGGAATTGCAACCTAAAATTGTATACATTGAACTAAAACTTTTTTTATTCATATTCTTATTTTTATATTTTGATCTAGCAAAGAGAAAACATTTTCTGCTGTTAATTGCCAGAACGAAGAAACCAATTAAATCTTACGTTTCACCACTGAAGTGATAATGTTATCACCTTGGAATTTGTACAGCAATGAACTGTCAGATTTGTAACATCTGATAAATTGATGTCAGCGCCAAGATAAACATTGGTCCTTGATAACAGAAAAAAACAATAATTAAATATTTAATTTCATGTCAATAAGTAAGCCCTTTGTATACAGGTGTGTCCCTAAATTGCTCGATCACTTCTTGTCAACCATTAAAACGAGTTCTTCCTTATAGTAACCATAGTATAACTATTTTCCTGGCATGCTTGAAGTGGTAATATGGATTTTACTAAATATTTAAAATACCATCAGAGCAAAAACAGCTATTTGGTGATAGATACCCTTGACTAGATTTCTCTCTCCAGATAACTTTTTTGCATTTCAACTACACCCAGGCGCAACATTGATTAGTTGGACGATTTAAGAAAAGGATATACATAAATTTATAAACAAAATAAAACAAAGATCTAATGATACAGTTTAATTTATTTATTACATACTGCATTTACAAAAAGAAATATTTAAAATAAAACGCATTGGCATTGAATAAAAATGTGCCAATCATAATGTAACACATTAACATTTGTCCTTTTGTCTTTCCAAAATATGAATAAATAATATAAACTTTCACATGTTTTTAATAATTTGTTCATGTATTGATAAAATGTCAGTATTCATCACTACTAGTTGCTTTTTCACTGTCATCATCGTCAGCATCATCATCGTCAGCATCATCATCATAATCAAATGTTTCTTCAAGTTCTGGTAATGGGTACTTGTCCATAACACGCTCTAACATAATTTTTTTTAACAGCATACTGTATAGCTTCATCATTTTCGAAATCAACTTCCTCTCTCAATCTTTTAACAGTAACCATGATCTGTTCATGTGTAGGATTGCGCTAAAGTGCGCTAATGTCATTTTTCTAATAAAACCCAAATAAACTTCTCTGAATGCTTTATGATACACGGAGCGTATTTTTTCAAAAGCTTTATTTCTTATTTCTTCAAGAGAGCTATCAGGGTCTTCATTACGCATTTTACTGGCTGTTTCATTTAAAACGTCATCTCCTTGTTCATATGTGAGATCTGTAAAATACTTCCATATGTCAATATGTTTTTTCTTGTTAACATCATCATAATTTTTGCCATTGTCATCCCCAATAGTAGAAGATTCGTCGTCATTATTTTGTTCACTGTCATCGTCTTCTTCGTAATGATGAGATTTGGATCTATTAGGTCTGAGTCTCAAACGATAGAAAATGTTTCTATATAGATAAGGTTTACGATTTGGTTCCTCTTCTGGTGTATTTCCATCGCTGATTTTATTTTCAGACATACTGTTCTTATGTTTGAGATGTGACTGCCTATTTAAATTGTACTTTTTATTGATTTTTTTTTATAACACAATAGACATGTGAATACCATTATCTTAAGCGATCAAATGGCAAAATTAATGCCAATTCTCCTTTTTATTCTCCCAACGAATTTATTTCGTTGATCATTTACTTATTTTGCTTGCTAAGTGGCTCAATCGGTTGTTCCTTTACTCATTTTGCTTGCTCAGTCGCTCATTTGCTCATTTTGCTTGCTCATTTGGTTGCTCATTTGCTTATTTACTTGCTTTTTTGCTCATTTGATTGCTCATTTTACTTGCTCATTAGGTTGCTCCTTTTGGTCGCTCATTTGCTCATTTTACTTGCTCATTTGCTCATTATACTTGCTCATTTGTTCATTTGGTTGCTCATGCTAATTTTACTTGCTCATTTGGTCGCTCATTTGCTCATTTTGGTTGCTCATTTGCTCATTTTACTTGCTCATTGGCTCATTTGGTTGCTCATTTGCTCATTTTACTTGCTCATTTGCTCATTTTACTTGCTCATTTTCGTTAATCAAATGCTCATTTGGTTGCTCATTTGCTCATTTGGTTGCTCATTTGCTCATTCTGCTTGCTCATTTGGTTGCTCATTTTACTTGCTCATTCACTAATTTGTTTGCTCATTTACATGCTTATTTGCTCGTTTTGGTTGCTTATTTGCTCATTCAATTGCTCAGTCGCTCAATTTACTTGCTCACTTGCTCATGTTGGTTGCTCATTTTGGTTGCTCATTTGCTCTATTTGCTCTATTTACCTGTTCTATTGTTATAAAGTGCACACTCTTAAGTCATTATGTAAACAATTGATTAAATTTTACATTTTTCTGATGGCGGATACATGAGATAGTACAATACAATATCAAGAAGAAGATACTAAAGTAGTTTATTAGATGGGTTGACCACAGCTGGTCTAGACTTGTTAATAATATTTTGTCCTAATTTTCTATTCATAGTTTAAACCAATAATTTGATTAAAGTTTTCCTTTGTATATTTTGACCGAATTAGTTAATCCTTTATTGTATCATTTTTCTATTGTATACTTTAGATCATATTTATGTGACTCCTAATCCTTTATGGTCGTAATTGTCTATTGTCAAATTTGACCATTATTTCCTCATTATGTAAACAAATTGACGGTGATTCATCATCAAATAGAATTAACTATTTATCACGGACAATATTTTTTTTGTGAATGAATACTTTTTTCTGTATGTTTGTATTTTGTCACATGAAAACAATGCTTTTGTTATTTTATTTACTAAAGACTGATAAAGAACGATTTGGTTTTTCATTAATAGTTATATTAATTGAATTATGAGTGATATAACGCATGCAAAATTAAAAATTTCTTTTAATAGATCAAGCAACAAAAACACTTACCCGTTTCACGGAAAGTCTCCAAGTTACGCAAAGCAATAATATGAAACCGGAAATGACATCGACAATGTGGTTAAATGTTGTTCATTTTCGAAAAATGCGTTTTCGGAAAACCGGTTGATTACTTTTACACTGTGATAAAGAGAAATTAAGAATTTTTTGAAAATGATAACATTCTTAATATAAAATTGCTGGCTTTCAAATATGATAAATAGGTGAAAATGTACACACAATTAAAAGGTTTTATACAAAATAACAAGTCGTCGAAGTAGATTTAATTTTTTTTAGCAAATTGTAAGAACTAAATTGATTAATTTGTTAACAATGCTTTTAGCCACAGGGATAAGACGCTTTGATCTGATATAATCCCCTACCTGACTACCCTTCCTTTCAGTCCCTGTTACAACCCCCCAAAATATTATATTATCTAAAGTCAATTTCTACATTTAGTATTCATAACAACAATACTATGACACTATTACACAATTTTCATTATATCTCTATAGTATTAGTTATACAAGGGTAGCTAGCAACAGTGTTTTAATTCTACCCAAATTAACATTCAATGTCATAACTCAGCGAAATCTCTATATTTTTTAAAAAAAACTTGGTCTCGATCAATAGAGTAATATTAAGCAGCGTTAATGATTTTGTTTCAGCCGGTACTGTGAAATCTGATTCACGTAAACATTGAAATTTACACAACTGAATCGCTAAAAAAGAGGCAATTTTGCATCAGAAATACCAAACTAAACGATCAATGAAACTCAACAACGACAATCCAGAAGCGAGAGTAACGGACCGAAAACGATGATCTGATTGCATGACGTAAAGTCGAGACCCTGAACGATAAGCTTTCGTATATTTCTTATTAATGAAAGAATATTACAAATAAAAAGTATATCACCATAAACATTAATACAAATGTAGCTTTTATAATAATTTTTATTTCTTTTATATTTCAAATTCTCCTAAAAGTTGAATATTTTTTGTCAAATTTAAGCTTGAGACCCCCCCCCCCCCAAAAAAAAAGAGAGGAAAAAAAACGCTAAAAAGTATTTATTAGAAGTTGGCCAATGAATAAAGTAATGCTATTAATTTTTGAAAAAAATACTAATTTAATACAATACTTTTATTGATCAAAATACAGTAATGCTAATTTAATGCACATATTTGGCAAATAATGTTTATTTCATGCATTTCTTTTGAAAATTATTCGCACCGTGTCTGGCCAATATGTTTGTAAATGATAATTTTAAATGGCGAAAAAAGAAACTTCACATAAGTTTATAAGAAAGATTGAATTCAGCATTGAAAAAAATACTATATATATATGTGAACAAACGTCTTTATTAAACTATGCCATAACATAAAGTATTGAAAGCATAAAAATCTTAGATAAGTAAGCAAACAGTTTCTGTTAATAATTATTTATAAATAATCCATATAAATCGTCAAAATCTTGATTTCACATCTCAAATCTTAAAGGGACCCCCACTGAGGTTTAAAAGCCTAAAAACATAACATTTGAATTTCTTACATAAATGAGCTGGGGCACTTTAGACAGAAATATATGCAAAGATAGTTAAGAAATATACTTTGAAATCATTGAAAATCGTATTTATATGCTTTTCTTGGTCCGATTTGAGTGAAAAGCGTTTAAACGCTTTTCATTTTGTGTGATTATTTACAATGTGAATAATTATTCTGGAAAAACGAAGTGCGCGAATGATCTGAAATTTTGCACAAAGATTAGAGGTCTAAACCTACATCAAATATGGTACATTTATATGGAAAAAAAATTCAGTCCAATCATTATCAAAAAACCTCAGTGGAGTCCCTTTAATAGTTGTAATTATTTATAAATAATCCATATAAATCGTCAAAATCGTGATTTAACATTTAAAATGTATAAAATTCTTTTATTTTTCAAGGATTGTTCAAAAGTGTTAATATAAAAACCCTGCTCTAAACAATTCACAAAACTCATATGCGCTTAAATCCTTGCCGTCCTCGTATTCTTCATAAGTGTAAATAGCATCGGAAAGTTCTTCAAACGACAGCTCGCCTTTATGTTCAAACAACTGAAGATTATCTTTGTGATTTACAAGTATTTCAAGCTGTTCCCTGCTCTCGTCAAACATTTCCAGATATTCGCGTTCAGAATCAAACAGATCCAGATATTCGCGTTCTGAAGCAAACAGATCCAGATATTCGCGTTCTGAATTAAACAGATCCAGATATTCGCGTTCTGAAGCAAACAGATCCAGATATTTGCGTTCAGAATCAAACATTTCCAGATATCCGCGTTCAGAATCAAACAGATCCAGATATTCGCGTTCTGAATGAAACAGATCCAGATATTCGCGTTCTGAATTAAACAGATCCAGATATTCGCGTTCAGAATTACTAAACAGATCCAGATATTCGCGTTCAGAATTACTAAACAGATCCAGATATTCGCGTTCAGAATTACTAAACAGATCCAGATATTCGCGTTCAGAATCAAACATTTCCAGATATTCGCGTTCAGAATCAAACAGATCCAGATATTCGCGTTCAGAATTAAACAGATCCAGATATCCGCGTTCAGAATTAAACAGATCCAGATATCCGCGTTCAGAATCAAACAGATCCAGATATCCGCGTTCAGAATTAAACAGATCCAGATATCCGCGTTCTGAATTAAACAGATCCAGATATTCGCGTTCAGAATTACTAAACAGATCCAGATATTAGCGTTCAGAATTAATAAACAGATCCAGATATTCGCGTTCAGAATTAAACAGATCCAGATATTCGCGTTCAGAATCAAACAGATCCAGATATTCGCGTTCAGAATTACTAAACTGATCCAGATATTCGCGTTCAGAATAACTAAACAGATCCCGATATTCGCGTTCAGAATTAAACAGATCCAGATATTCGCGTTCAGAATTACTAAACAGATCCAGATATTCGCGTTCAGAATCAAACAGATCCAGATATTCGCGTTCAGAATTAAACAGATCCAGATATCCGCGTTCTGAATTAAACAGATCCAGATATCCGCGTTCTGAATTAAACAGATCCAGGTACTTTTTTTTCTTGTCAAATAATGGAAGATACTTTCTTTTCTTCTCAAATAATGGAAGATATTTTCTTTTCTTCTCAAATAATGGAAGATATTTCTTTTCTTCATCAAACAATGCAAGGTATTTTCTGTTCTTATCGAAAAACTCAAGGTGATCCCTTTCATTGTAAAAAAGTTGAAGAAACTCACGCTTCTTTTCAAACAAATTTAGGTATTTTCTTTCATCATTACACAGTTCTCTATACATTTTCTCTTCTTTGGATATTCTTTTTTCTTTCTTTTCCATGCTGCCTGACTGAAAGTAGACTTCTTTCTTTAAATCGTTTATCATAAGTATAGACAATTGAAAATTCATTTACTTGTAATCTTTTTGTATCATTTTCTGCACGTCAAAAATAATCATTTTTGTACTGATTGGTAAAATCAAAAATCTGGATGTTTGTTTTTTACATTGAACGCTGAAGGAATGATACTTTTAAAAAAAATATAGGATCATCAACAACGAATGAATGTTAAATCTTTTCACCTCATCCCCTCACAAATAATGTATTTATAAAAGAGGTATTGATGATGAATTACGTTTAAAGTGTGCAAGATATATCCGAGTAATGTTAACTTCACTTTAAATAATCGTTTAAGATATGTATACAATCATGTCTTTGTAGGTTTCATGATCCCCTTGATAAAAAAATTTTTATTTTACATGTTGGGTTGCCACCGGGAGCGTAAATATTACTTTAATGTCCTAATAGCATTAAAGGTGTTGTAAAACAGGAAGTTTTTATTCAGAGTTATCTCTAATGTTATTGATATCTTGTTTGTTTACTGCACAAAGCAAATACATTGAAATGTTGAATATTTGTGTAAACATGTACTAGTATTGCGTTTAAATAAGATCAGTTAAGACATTAAGGGACCGGATAATATCAGATTTTTTTGCCGTTTTTATGGTCACATCATTGTATTTTGTGCCATGTGGAGGCTGTAAAAAGTCTCCACGTACATTTAATCAAAGTTGTTATATTTTCATTCCTTCAAGATCGTTTAGCATGGCATTATTGCTATGAGTGCATGCTTTTTTGGTACTTAAATAGTTCTTTCCAATTTGGTCTTTTTTTCAAATCGGGTGGTTCCAGTATTCCTCACATGAATACTGCTTCATCACTCTAAGGATATGTTGCCTGCTATATTAAGTTTATCAAGAGCGTATCTGTGATATGCAGGCTTCATTACCTCTGATTCCCTTTCAAAATTCCATTTTATTCAGTTTCGCCCATTGTTTTCTCGTTCAGGGCACGAGCAATTTTTTACTTAGGGACCATTTGCCCTATTCACGGAATGGCACTAACGTATCACATTGAAGGTTCCATGATTATCGCCATTGAACACATCTGCGGATGTTTCAAAATTCAAAACCGGTTTACCGGTTCATGTTTAATGTTGAATTCTGCTTAAGCCGGTGCCACCATAGTTTTCAACTGTTTTTTAGTTTTGAAGTTTTGCTCCTTTTCTTGTGATATAAATTTTGTTTAAAGAAATATTCTACTTAAAGGAACTTATAAATCTAAACTGTTTTTCATTTGTATATAACATATTCGTATTATAGTATAGAATTGTCTTTTCCATTGAAATTTCTTGACGTAAATATTTAGATGGCATGAAACTTATACTTAAAACAACATAATTTAGAAAATATTACCTTCCAACAAATTTACAGCTTTCAAGTCCAGAAACAAAATGATGAATAGAATAGAATAAAGTTTATTCGCCAATCATGGGTCATTCACATGACATGTTAATCACAAAATAAAACAATAATCATAATGAGATCAACAGTGATAAAATGAGATCATATCATGATATGCACATTGGCGTGTCACTGACGTTATCAATGGATCATGATAAAGCCAAATTCATTTTGCGTCACAGTTAAATACCTTATATGTATAGTTACATAGAAAACAACAATGAATCACCTTACAAAGCTATTAAAAATTTCGAAGCAATAAAATATTGATAAATGCAATAATAGTATATTATATCTAGTTATACTGCAAATGTTTTACCAAGTAATGTTTTTAGCATATGCGGACTTCATGTAAGTTTTTAAATAATGTAATATACATGTATATATCATGAATCATCGGTTCTTTTACTTTAACAGCGTAGGTTTATGATTTGTCTCATTAATAATTACTAGCCACGGTCTTAAGTTAGAGAACATTATAATAGTCTACCGGGCACATTGCAAAGAAAGCCATCATCTATTGTTGCAGCATGGTGGAGTGGTAATCTATTGATCTCTAGCAACTAGGGTTCACACCCCGTCAGGGGAAAGCCGTTGTTTCCTGAAGCAAGAAATTTTACACTCATTGCTCAGTTCTGGTTGGTTCCAGAAACGAATTCAAGAGTGTGTCTATAAGCTTATAGCTTACTAAAATAAATTCTGTATAAACTTACTTTATATACGACATGCCCCGCTTTTAAATATTTGGTGTCCAATAACGTTCTGTCAGTTCTTTTTTCAATAAGATATCAAATCACTTTAAATAAGTCATTTTAATGTCAAACTAACCTATATTATACATCCTCTTGATTAATATCAAACATGTCGTTTTTGTCTCTTATTGTGCATACATATTGGATGATATTAAGTTAAAAGTTCATCTCTGTAGCATCCTTTTTGGGAAATAGTTTCAAATTAGCATTTCCCTGCAGGTACTCCTATCTGAGTATATATTTTTAGACGAAATCTATTCGTTTATCTTTAAAATGTGTTTAAATATTGTGAAGAATGATATTTATAGTGTGCCATACCAAATTAGTCTGAGATGTCGACTGTGCTGTTGGTGATTTCCTAAGTAACATTGTAAAAAAAAGAAGATTTATTTATAAGTGATTTTGTTAGACTTGGAAGTTTAACCGCGATACATGGAGGATGCTAACGTTATTCTATACGGATCTACTTCAAGCTTTAATTGACCGCATTGCTTTATATTTGAATTGACACTAAGGTAGACAACAGAGATATTGAAGCATGTTATTTATTATATGTCCCAGAGCTGTTTGGTTTAGCCAGTTTTGGAGGTCCAACCAATATTGAGAATGTGTCAGTCTTCAAAGAACTCTCCACAAAGCAAAAGAAAATATGTACAGATATTTTCAGCAAGTTTGTCCATACCGTAAAACCCAATCTGCAGGCTTATTAAATGCACAACCAAGTTGTTTAAAGAAATGATATATGAATATGAACATAAGTTTGATGTGATTTCAACACCTAACGACCAACAAGCTGGATCTTTGAGATTAAACGTACAGACGTTCATTCACATTATATTTTAAAATCAAATATCAACCGGCCCTTTGGTTGATTATAACATTTAAGGACATGAATGGTGACATGTCCGGGGTTCATACTCTCAGTGCCTGAAAGGGCGGATGGATTCCCATTAAGCCTAGAATACACACATACATACATACATACATACATACATACATACATACATACATACATACATACATACATACATACATACATACTTTATACTATACATGTAAGGAAAATCCATCACCACCCCGGGAATCGGCTATTGTAGTCCATAGGGCTATAATATTTGAACAGACTTGGTAGAGTTCCGCTAGATAATATTTTATGCCAAACGTTTTATCGTTAGCCTTAATAGTTTTAGAGGAGTTAAATTGTTTTAAGTTTTTACTACATACATAACTTTTAGAAAAAGAATATGAAAAAAGAAAATTACACGAGTGAGCTATTCTGATAACAGTCAAACCTGTGAATTAAGATCACCCATGAAAGCGACAGATAATGGTCTTTATAGACAAGTGGTCTTTATTTGGAGGTTACTTTATTCCATTTCATCAATGAAACTTATCGAATAGTGACCTTTATATACAGGGTATTTTTTATTCAGAGTTTGTCTTACTGTGCATAAGGTTGTAATGATACTGAAACTGAAACTGTTTTTATTTAATTAAACGCCTATTTCTATATACATATTTAATGGCGTTGTACAAAAGGATAATAAAAGTATGTACATATAGATAAAAAAATCACATATGCATGACAAATGAACTACAAAAAAATAACTAAAATAAATCAGCCGTGTAAAATATAGAGTATTAAAAACTTAAAAAAAAGAATAGTTATGAAAAATAATAATAAAACATAATTTAAAAGAAAATAAAAATCAATGGTTATTTCAGTAAAATTTTAACACATTTCCACATCTCGATCAGTTTACAGCCCAATCACAATCTTAAAACAATGCGTAAAAATCTCTAAAATAGTAGGTTTTGACATTTTTCTTGAACATGTCTAAAGTCGAAGACTGTCTTATATACAGAGGCAATTTATTCCAGAGAGTTGGACCAACGGTACTAAAACTTCTGTCGTTAAATGTTTTCCTTTTGTTAAAGGGGACAGTAAAACAATAATCCATATTACCAACAGATCTGAGATTTGGTCTTTTTATGACAGGCTTGTGTAACAGTTCTGTTAGATAAACCGGAGCATTGCCCATAAAACAGTTATACATTGTACATAGTATTTTAAAATTGATTCTAACTTTAATTGGTAACCAATGCAGTTCAAACAAAGAGTCTTTGGAACTGTCATATTTTCCGCGTTGCAAAACAAGTTGCCAAACAATATAGCGTTGCAATAATCCAAATGTGAGATTACAAGCGACAATACTAGGATTTTTGTGGCGTCCTGAGTCAGATATTTGCGAATGCTCTTTATTCTCAAATAATTTAACATGGCAGTTCTACACTTGGTCTTAACATGTGTTGAGAATCTTAGGCCCTCGTCTAAGTAGGCACCTAAGTATCTTATGACACTGACATTTTGAATTTTATCAACGGCGATGTCAATTTCTTTAATTGAACATTTACCAAGTTGGGCTTTACTACCAAACATAATGAATTCTGTCTTAGTGGTGTTCATTTTGAGTTTATTGGCATTCATCCAGTCATTGATGATTACAGCACTGTCTTCAAGTTGCTTTATAGCGTTAAGTTCATTGGTCACCGAAGTTGGTCGAAAGCGTTGACTAGCAATGTGGTCATCAGCAAAGCCGTACACAGATATGGTTGGTGGTATCACGTCAAATAGGGTTCCCGCATATGTGAGATAGAGCCACGGACCAAGACAGCTCCCCTGAGGTACACTGCATTCCAGCAATCGATTCAGTAGAATTAACACTGACGCGACAACTACGAGGTCGCAGGTACGAGTCCACCCATGCTAACACGGTACCATTGACACCGTACTGACTGTGTAACACGTCGAGTAGAATGTTGTGGTCAACGGTGTCGAAAGCTGCACTTAGATCTATTGCAATTAGAGCTGTCACCTCTTGCTTCTCCATACCGTCTAGAAGATCATTGACAAGTCTGAGTAAAGCAGTCTCACATGAATGATGACGTCTGTATGCTGATTGATTTTTGGGTAACAAATTATGGGTATCGACATGGTTATTTAGTCTGAAGAGCGCAGCCTTTTCTATCAATTTTGAAAGAAACGATAAGTTACTGACAGGCCTGTAGTTTGACAATTGTAATTCTAAACCAAACTTCTTAAGAAGGGGTCTAACGATCGCCTGTTTCCAGTGTGTTGGAAATACACCTTTAGACAGAGATAGATTGACCAGTTTGGTAATGGTTGGCAGAAGCTCATCAAGATGTGACTTTAATATATGTATGGGTAATAAGTCCAGCTCACACGAGTTGGTATTTAGTTCACAAATAAGGCTCTTCACCTGTGTTTCTGTAAGATCCTCGAAATTTTCTAAAGGTTGAACTTGTTTAACATTTGGAGTGATTTACGAATTTTAGCTATTTTGTCCATGAAAAAGTCTGCAAACGTCTCAGCTAGCTCACCGTCATTTGTAGACTGTGGCATAGGGATTTTGAGCTTTAGTACCAGTTAATTCCGAAATTATACCATAGAGTTTTTTTGAATCACCTTTGGCATTTAGAATTTTCTCACTTATTACTAGTTTTTTCTCAGAATCAATTTCTTTACAGTATCTATTCCGTGCTTCTTTAAATTTCTTGAACTGTTCTGGCTCTTTGTACTTTCTCCAAATTCTCTCTTTTTTCCGGACAATACGCTTAGATTCCAATATTGACTCATTGAACCAAGGTTTTTGAGTTCTGCATATCCTAGTTTGTTCCTTTGTTGGAGCATGTTTGTCGATGACAGATTGGATATCTGATTCAAACAAGTTTACAAAAGTATTGACATATTCACTATTAACTGAAATATTCGTCAAATCATCAGAGAATTCAGAATGGGATATGCTTTTCCAGTTTCTAAATTGTACAGTTTTACTGGTAATGTTTTCTTTCTTCACATTAATGACTACGTGGACAGCACAGTGATCGGAGAAAAAAGGTCCTTGTTCACATTTAAGTACACATACACCATTAATCGATTCAGTGATTACCAAGTCTAAACAGTTTCCAGCAGTGTGTGTACTAAAGTTATAATGTTGCTCTAAAACCCATAGCATGAAGGCAATTTTGAAAGTTTGTAGATGCACCACTACCATTGTCAAGGTGAAGGTTGAAGTCTCCCATAATCAACAAGTTAGAGTAAGTAGGTAAGATATCTTCTATGAAATTTGAAAAGTCAGTTATAAATTGCTCACATGTGGCTAGGGATGGGGGTCTGTATAAACCAACTACGTGTACTGTTATACTTTTGAAAATGAATTTCCATATGCCAAACTCAAAACTTTGTTTGGTCCCATGTTCCATCTTTCTCATTTTAATTTCGGTTTTACAAGTCAAAGCAACACCGCCACCAATTTTGTTCTTGCGGTTTGCGTCTAACGAGATCACAGGGATATAATTTTGCATTATTTAAACACATGCAATGTTCCCTGATCATTTTATGGCTCATGTAAATCAATGTTAAGTAAAAACCTGAAATCTGTGGAGAATAATGGAGCGTACATATAGATAAAAGAATATTTATAGATGCATTTAAATCATTTACAAGAACAGTGTAAATAATATATACATGTATATATAGGTACATTCACTCATTTATTACTTCGCTAATCACCTTATATTTATTAATGCAGTAAATTTCAAACAATTGTTCAAACACAGTTTTTTTCAAATTGTAAAATTTCAATTAAAGGTTATTTTCAGTTAAATAGTGACCGATAAGATATATTGCAATCGAAAATTAGAAAGATTCTTTAAATCATAATGTAGTTATTGAAAGTGACATTATGTCAGGTTTAGCTGAATATACTATGTTTTTCATGTTGCTTTATGTAATATTTGTTCTGTTTTGGCACTTGATTTTAGGCTGTGTTAAAAAAGAGTAAAACAGCGACAATATTGAAAATGTTGCAGGCTCGGTTTGATTGAGCCTGTTCATATGACAACTATAGTCTTCGAGACGTTTAAACTAAAATTATAATCTTGTCCTTATATTTCCTTACTTTAATGATGGATATCCTCCTTTATCGGAAAGTTTTGTAATTTATAATTCAACTGGTTACAAATATAGTGCTAAAAAGCTAAAAAGATTTTAATACAGCTAGCAAAACATATACATTCTGTTCTATTCTTGTTTAAATTTACCTTGCTCAGTCCCATGTATTATAAACTGTGTGCTTATCAGCACTTTACATAATCGATAGCACCCTATAAATTTATTAAAATGAAATCAATAATTTAAAGGAGAAATTTTAACTTGAATTTTTTTAAGTTGTATATATCTGCCATAACTTTATCAGTTTATTTCAGTTGTCAATTGAAATACATTTAATTTGTATCATGAAAATGCTTATAAATGTGTAACGTTTTTATTTAAAAAAATATTTTTGTCAGTAGCTATGGATGTCATAAAGGAAATACAACGAAGAAGATATTGTATTATAGTGAGAATCTTTACAGTTCTGATGCTTTGTACACCTGGACAGTTTGAAAATATCAAGGAGCACTGTGAAGTGAAAAATAATTCCACATTGATATGTAACTACGTACCAAAGATATTGTCCAAACAATACGATCATGTGCGTTTTGTGGACTTTAAGAGGAAAGATGAAAGTATATTTATCAACAATTCCAGTTTCGGTCATGTAAATTGGAAGAGCGTTCAAACCATTGAGTTCAGTGATACTAGCGGACGAGAATCTGGATTAACGTTTTCTCGAGAGTGTTTTAAAGGTCTGATGTCTCTGAAGGAAATAAGGATTCATGTAAGCAATTTTAATCTTGTTCCTGCTGCGTTTGTTGGTGTTCCTTCTGTCCACACGTTAGATGTAAGCAAATGTTACCGTCTTGATCTGGAGGAAGTGCTCAACGCTCTGAAAGTGGAAAGTGCTTTACCGGCTTTAAAGAATCTTATCATGTCTGAAATAGGTGCTTATTTGAGTGAACCTATCAACATCAACCTAGCAGCTGTAAAGATCCTTGCACAAAGAAATATCACAAAATTGAACTTGAGCAGAACCCAAATAAATTATGTCAATTTCACAGCATTACTAAAAACATTTAAAACACTAAAATATTTGAATTTGTCATACTCGGTTATAGCAAATACATTGTTTGATGGTATCGTGCAGAAAGATGTGTTACATTTGAAAGTTGTTGATTTATATCATAGTGTTTTACCATCGAAAATTATTCCGTTTCTTCCCGAGAAATTCAGTATTGCTAACATGACAGGTAATTATTCCGTGATCCCCGGGATAAAAACACTTTTCATCCCATTGGTATTCAACGCAAGCGGAGTCGTGCCTGCAATGGCATCAGTTTGGGTTTACAACTGTACTGGAATATTAAATGAACATTTTGGCGTGAAGACACAACATTTAGAAATAAGCAATAACAATTTGAAATATCTTGATCTTAATAGCAAATGCCCAGTTTTCAAGTTTACATCCTTCACCCACATTGATTTGTCTGGTAATGGACTGGAAATGGTGCGCCCCACAGAGTGTTTGCCGAATTTGGAAACGGTTAATTTATCTAATAATGAATTGTTTAAGATGCTTGATTCACACCCAAAACTGTTTGAAAATTTGTTGACTTCGCAGACCAAACTACGTATAATAAACCTTTCAAATAATCGTCTTCCAAACATTCCTCAGAACATGTTCAAGCAAAACAAAGTTATTGAAATAATCGATCTTTCCTTTAACAAGCTTGAGCAATTACACTTTGATTTGGTGGATTTACACAATCTACGCGTGTTAGATGTAAGTAAAAATAGTATCAAGGTCCTCGATGATGTTTCTATTTACAATTTAAACACAATTGGTTGCGCAAATGTGTCCAAATCTGATCGTAAACATTGTTCAGTTGTACTTGCTGCCAACCCAATCAAGTGTTCATCGTGTTCTAGCAAGCCGTTTATACATTGGCTTTTAAGCTCAAAGCAAGTGAATGCAATTCAGCAGAATCTGATGTGTATGACTGAAGACAGAACAAGTATAAACGTTGATGAAACTGTTATTGTGAAAATTCAGAATATCTGTAATAGAAAAACAGTGATCATTGCATCTACTGTAGGCGCATCTGTTACTTTCTTGGTAGTTTGTATCGCAAGTCTGATTCTGTACAGACGAAACATGAGGCTCAAGCGAAAGCGCAACATGGACACTGTTCTAGCTAAGTTAATATCAGGAGAGGACCAGTACGAGTTCGTTGTCTTTCTTTCATATAGCAGCAACGATGACAAATTTGTACAAGATCATGTAATAAATCAACTAAACGAGAATCTTCAGTTAATGATTGGAACAGATAGAAATCTTGTATGCACGGGTGACACACATTTGCGCCCTGGTTTCATGGTTTATGATGAAACATTGAAATGTTTGGACAGGTCATCAGTTGTCATACTGGTCGTGTCGGATAACTTTTTGCGTAGTTCGTATTGTCAGTATGAGTTGGATCAAGCATATTTACAGAGAAAGCCTATAGTGTTGATGCTTCTTGGACATGTAGACGAGGAATTAATGACCCCTACCATGAAACAGCTATACAAGAGAGATGTCCGCATTCTATGGACTGTTGAAAATGGACAATTTGTTCTTAAAAATACTTGGGAAAACATTTGTTCCTCGGTACTGGAAAATGTAAAGATTTAGAAAAAGTATTGGATTTATAATATTAAAGATCTGGTGCAATTCATAAAAACATATTGTTGAAAGGTTGAGGATGAATATTGCACATGTATATAAAGTATAACATTGTATTTATGATAAATTCAATAAAAAAACAACACTTTTAAAAAAAAATAGTAATCCTGGATGTTTCATTTCCCTTTCATTAAAACAGACCTTGAATCGTCCACAAGTCTTTTCACCTGTTTGATTATGATGACATTTAATTGAAATCATCATCATTTTGTGCTTTATATACTAGTACGAGTATCATTATATTTCTTGGAAAGTCAAAGCTTTAACACTGCCTATTATCACTTTTTGACATTTTCTCTACGCTTTTGGTATTGTTCTTTTTATTTAGACAATTGGCCTTCTACTTGGACTTTATTCTTTTATGAGAGGGAGGTATCAAGCTAGCCTTCACTCGTGAATTCATAGGTGCTTGGAATATGCTGGAAAGTCACCATATTACATTTGCACTGTCAACTAATACTATAACCAGCAATACTGTGCATTGTCTTGTCACTCCTTAATATGTAAAATGTGAATTGTGATTGCTGTTTTCTTTTAGTTTTGCTCCTCTTCAAAATATAACACAAGACAAACCATATCCATAAGACAAGTGTGTACCCACATTCCCCAGTTTTGTCAGTCTACCAACACAAAAAAACAGGTGATAGACTGACAAAGGCATTGTCTGTGCTCCCCATTACACAGCAAAATTGTGAAGGCATAAAACAAACAAATTTATAGTACATATATGTATCTTTATTCACTGCAAACATTTAGTTATAATATCTCCCATTCAAAATACCAACATTTATCTAACAGTTGTTTATACCTATACTAAATTGAAATATGGACTTGTCCTGTTTTGAATTAGGGTTAGTCAATTGTTAAAATGTGGGATTTCAATGTCCAAGTTTGATGTCAAATTAGTAAACAAACAAGAGCTGTCCGTAAGACAGCGCGCTCGACTTTTTTATTGCTTGCCAATAAAAAAAGTTTTTGCAGTAAAAGGCAATACAAGAATCTCTGTATTTTTAAAGTGAACAATGGCCATGAGCATTAAGATATTTAGTGAAGAATTATTTTACTGAATTGTGTGATACCCTTGAACACTGCAGCAAAGTTTGAAATGTTTAAGTCAAAAGAGGGCTGGTAAGAAAGAAAAAAAAACTGAGTTGAGCCTTAAATAAATTTAATTCTAAGTCGATAAAAGGCCTTAATTTTTAAAACAAATCCTTGACAGAGTTACCTTCTCTTGCGTACAGATGGGGGTAATGATGTGAAATAGCATTAAAAGTTTCAAAGCAATATCTCAAAGGGTTAAGGCAATAAGTGGATTTTACCCATAGTCAATGTATTTTCTAAGTCAAAAAGGGGCATAATTCTGTCAAAAACCTTGACAGAGTTATGTCCTCTTGTCTGTTGATGAAGGTCGTGATGGTAAACAAGTATGGTCAGTTTCAAAGCAATACCTCCAATGGTTTTGAAATAAAGTGAGGTGGTACAAAAAACTTAACCAAGCTCAATACACTTTCTAAGTCAAAAAAGGGCCATAATTCTGTCAAAAACCTTGACAGAGTTATGTACTCTTGTCTGTAGATGGAGGTTATGATGGTGAACAAGTATGGTAAGTTTCAAAGCCATACTTGTAATACTTCTGAAATAAAGTGGGGTGGTACGAAAAACTTAACTAAGGTGTGACGCCGACGCCGACGCCGGGGCGAGTAGGATAGCTCCCCTTTTCATAGAAAAGTCGAGCTAAAAATAGCACACAACAGTACAGTGCCTGGTCAGATCAATAGTTTCTGTAATACAGAAAACACCCTATTTTCCCTGAAAATCGTAATATTTTAACTTTTATCAAAAGTAGTCTGAAAAATACAAATAACAACCTGCTAAATACATGTATTTTGCCTATTTTGACAGTCACCATAAAATCTAACTTTCATTTTTTACGGGTTTAAAAAAATGGTTTTTTTTTACATTTTTTTTATTTGATTTTTGGGATTTTAGTCCCAATTTTAAACCCTGTAAAACAGTAACTGACAGTTGGCGTGTCAAAGTAAATGATTTTATAACTTAAAAAGGTTCAATAAAACAATTTACCAGTTTAATCAGCATGCATTTGTTATTATTTCCAATTAGAATTATGTTAAAAATTGATGGGAGGAAAAATGGCTTTAAAAACATTGTTGCCAATCAAATTTATCACAGAAAAACGGGAGCCATACCAAGGGAGCAAACTCATATGTTCTCCCTTTTGTGAATAGAGTGACTGAGTATTATCTATAACTAAAACACCCGCTTGCAATCAAAACCAAAAAAGAATTGTGTTCTAAATAAATGACTATAACGATGATCATTGTGTGTTTACTTATAACATGTGCAACTGATTAAAAAGAAGCATTACACCACCATGCAATCACATAAAAATATCAAATCAACAAACATAAAAACAACAAGCAATTACAATTTACAAGACAACTTGTCCACTAGATATGTTAAACAATTATCATAAAAGACATAACATCAGATTGAACGGTTGAAAAAAATTATATATAAAATTTTCAAGTTAATATTTTGAGAAACATTTCTAAAGAAGTGACTACTCTAGTGTTATTGTAGACCGTGCCATCTATTTTAAAGTGACATTATGCCCATCGAAAGGTATATAGTGAGTGAATAGATGAAATTCACAACAAGTTCACGTTTTGCCATTATTCCTTTCAATTTTATAATAAACTTTAAATGACGAATGAATGACTCATGTGGCCTTAGGAAATTTCTGTAAATATCCATCAGAATTTACCTGTAACGTTTAAGTTATAACTTACAAAAAGAGTGGGACAGCCTTTTTATTTTCTAGGCAGATTTACATCTTATCCTAAAAATCTTCCTATAGCAACTATTGATCAACCTCCACTGTAACAGTCAGTCTTTTGAAATATATTGTCAATTCAGCTCAATTAGAAAAAAAAACAAAATGAGCATAATATTACTTTTTTAAGATATGGTCTATTAGTTCATGATAGGGCCAAAACATACTGTACATATAATGCCTCTATATTATTTCCTAACAAAATCAACAACAAATGTCGGTAGATTTTGCTTCATTTTATCACATGAAATTATAATGCTTTCTTTTACTGAAAATAAATATGGGAAATATTATATCTTTCTAAAATATCATTGATAAACAGAAACAAAAATTTGCCTTTTGGCCTTAAAAATACACTATCACATGTATTATAATAGAATTCCGTGGGTAAGAGTATTTTTAATGTATCAGGCTAAAAAAAGTAAGAAATTGCCAAAATAAAGAATGCAAGCATAACATTTTTGTGTTGCTTTCTGCAAGACAGCATAATTAGTTTTGTTAAAAACAAAATTGAGATTCTAGATATAAAGCTTAGGGTTATGTTAAATTACAACAATTTTAAGCAAGGGGAGCTTTGTCTGGCCATGGAGGTAACATCTGAAAGGTATTTGACAGTAGAGATTGGGGGTGGGAGGAGGGAGGTGTCAATGAAAATAAATTTATGTACTTTAAATCATTTGTTAAGCTTAATAATGTTATATCTGATCCAAAAACTGAAAAAGTATGTGTCTGTACATTATAATGTTAGTAACTACAATTTATGTTTTAACCTTCAACCCCCTATAATGGACATTCCATGCCTGGAATATTGAACTGTAACAGTTGTCCTTCCTTAATTATAAAAGGTTCTTTCAGATCTCATAGACTGGTCTGACTTTAAGCAGGTGTCATAGATTGTGACTGTCACACGCAGCCAGTTAAATCATGTAGTTAAATGCATTAAGCAAGGTGTTTCTATATGCAGTTTTGTGTAGTCAAAAGGACAAGCTCACATACGGGCAGTCACATATTTATTTGTAAGCAGGCAGCCTCATATGGACCCAGTCAACTTATTTAAAATCCCATAGTTCCCACCTCCAAATAAACATTCTTAATAAAATAAATTCAAGAAATAATTGAGTACAGCAAACAAATGTCAATATAAAAACATACAGGATTTTACAAATGCCATTTATGAGAACTAAAAACAACACTAACATAAAGAAAAGTAAAATAGCAAGAGGTAAACCTTCATAGTCTAACTGAATAAAAAAATCCCGAGAAAATATGGCAACAAAAAAAAGGGTAACAATGTAAAATCAGAGATTCTAATGTATATAAAATAGCAAAAATGTCAACAAATAATAACTTGCTCAAACTTTATATAAACAATTTAACATTGAAACAGGTAAAGTACATGTACAGATATTAAAAAATCAGATCTTCATATAAAAAGTAGCAGATTCTACACTAGAGATTCTTTCATTTTAAACAAAATTGAATTACAATTAAAAAAGAAAAGAATAAAAAAGATCTTTTATAGCATAATTAAAGGGACTCCACTGAGGTGATTTGAAATGAACAGGACTGGAAATGTTTTTTCCAAGATTTGTGTACCATTTGATGAAGCCCGACCAATAACTTGTGTGCAAATTTCCAGATTATTCTCTCACTCTGAATTTCAAGAATAATCATTTTCACTCAAATCGGGCTCAGAATCGCACACACAATAATTGATACTCAATTTAATTCTAAGTACATTTCTTTATTATTCCTTTATTATCATTATCCAGCTGATTTTTACATTTTAAGTGCTTCACTTCAACTATGTAAGAATTTCAAATTTTTGTTTTTAGGCTCATTTGACATCAGAGGAGCTCCTTTAAGTCATTCCTAAAACTTCCATGATATTCAACTACATGAAGTTATCAATAAATGCATTTTGAAATCAAGTGTGCAACAAAACTATACAAAAGAAACATGGAAAAAGCTAAACAATGAACATGGTATCAAATATAACTTCGGCCATTTTTGTTCTTATGCTTACATAAAAATAATAAAATTATAAAACTAAACAAACTATGCTACAAAATAGCTTGGTAAAGGAAAATTGTCCTATGCTCCGGATATGATATGCAAATGTGTACAAGTTTCAATACATAAACATTTTTCATGCACACAAATACTTGTATGTTTTAGACATATTTGTCTTTAACTTTACATTTTGAAACATATATGAAAGTGCCAGCTCTAAACAAATTATCTTTGAAATGTACTGATTAATTTTTAGAGGGTATAAAGCTATATCTCATGAAATATTTTTATAAAAGTTATAAACAATCAAAATTATTTTGTTTCCATAACATTATAGTTGATTCTTATGAGAGTTGTAACATTCAATATAATTGAGCCGCGTCACAACAAAACCAACATAATGGGTTTGCGACCAGCATGGATCCAGACCAGCCTGCACATCCGCGCAGTCTGATCAGGATACATTCTGTTCGCTATCAGTTTCTCTTCTTGTAATAGAGTTGGTAAGCAAACAGCATGGATCCTGATCAGACTGCGCGGATGCGCAGGCTGGTCTGGATCCATGCTGGTCGCAAACGCACTATGTTGGTTTTGTCGTGACGCGGCTCATTTCTCTGTTATAAAATTATATATAACAACCAAAAATTAGATACAAGACATCTTTTTTTTTAATTAGTTGAAAACCACCTAGGACTATTTTTGGTGCAGCAAATTAATCATGTCTAAAACTGAATATCATTTTCAAAAATGTACCAGAACATAAAAATTTGCATACCCGTAAATATTTACGTTTGGTTTGATTTTGCTAGATAACAAAAAAAAATACATTGTACAAAATTAAAGCATCTTTTGGTTTTGAATAGGATTCTAATTATAAATTTCAAGAAATATTCAAATAATTCTTTTTTAAAGAAATTGTTCATTTTTCTCCAGTTTTGAACTTTTTCAATCACAAGTTCACAGTTAAAATATTTTTTGTTAGCTGTACTGGCATGCGAGCAGTTCCCGTACAAAAATCATAGTTACTTAATCATTATTTTTTATTACCTTCACTCACCAATATTTGAATGTTACACATCAATATTCGGCTCGTCACACAAATCATGGAAATTCCATCATGTTCTAAACATAGAATAACCCTTACTTATGAGGCCTCATATGGGGTACCGAAATTATCCATTATTTTGTATGAAGAGAAGTAGTTCCCGTACATAAAATCTAACCCATTATAATTATACAATTTTATTATATCGGACCTATTTCTCATTTACAATTGTTGAACAGACCATTATCTCAGAGATAAATAGATGTAATTCAGGAAATAGAGCGTAGACTAAACGCGGGTATCTATTACCCGGTACCGCTACCCCAACGCATTCATATGCAGTAATTAACATGCTTGTACAAGTATGCATGATATTTTACGCATCAAAGCCATAAAATTATTATTTATAGTAAAATTGGTCAACATTCTGATAATTAAACAATTTTTCATCTCATTGCCTACTTATTTGTAAACAGGTGGTATTAGTGGAAAACCCTTTAACAAGCCTCACGTGTAAGTATTTTTGCGCATGCGCGCAAGGACGGAATCCCCCAGAGAAAACAAGGTCACGTTTTGACGACGCACAGGTGAAAGTGATTTAAAATGAGACATTATATACGTACTGCCGAACTGACAATTAGATTTTGTCTCGTTTATGTATCTGCTTGATTTGAAATGAATTTTTGAAGAATGCAAGTAAAAATCAAGTGTTTAAATGAAAAATACGGGTACTGCTTCTGTACGGGAACTGCTCGCATGCCAGTATGTTTACTTAACTGTAATTGTAAAACAATCGGGACTTACATGTGGTCAACATCTTAAGGCCATTAAGATAATGCCACGCAGCCATGCTTAATTTACATATCAGATACCCACTTTCATAACCACACTAATTATCGTTATTGATTATAAAATAAAATAAAGCTGCCTAATGGCTTATCAAACCCAGCAAATACTTTACAAGAAAGCACAGGGGGCCATTTAACAATAATTGAGCTAAATCTTCATAAAATATACATAGTCATACTGCCATTCCTTAAAGTCAATTCTATATCTGTTCTATATTCATAAATATATTTTTACTTTAATCAAAATACTGACAAAATTAACATCAGTTGTTTTTTTCTAAAGCTAATTGCCAATTTTACAGAAAACTTGTTGTACAATTGTATATCCTCAACAAACTAATAGAATATGACTATTGTGCAATGAATATGTAAATTATCAAATTTATCTATGACATCTTCAAGTATTACATTTTCATAAAAAATTGTGCTCTGACTTGTTTTTGTTCAAGTAAATTATAAAACATGTGTATCAAAAATGAAAGACTATGTAATTACAAAACCTTAGAATATGACTGGCATTCAAGTTTGTTTCTTTCTTGTAACATGACTAATTTCTTTGATTTTGAGACAGTCTTGATTAATGGTTAGTTTTTGAACATTCATATTTTATTACATGCTTTTCGGTGGTTTATAGAAATATATCAGTGATATAAAACTGGTAATTTCACTGTTTGAAACAGTGAAATTACCACTTTGATAATTTCACTGTTTTGAATTTAAGCCCCTTACGTTGTTTCAGTGAAATACCAGCATGCACAGAACTGGGTACCAACTTAATGACGTGACGTCGTAAATGACGTCACGTTGTATTATTATTTGGCGCGTTTTTCATTCAGTATTAGGTTTAATGTATTTTTAAAACGTTTCTTTGCATATAATAAAAAGAAAATTTGTTTACTTTAGTGTAAGATCAAAATATATTTCACCTTGTGAACACCAAAAGTTCATATTTCACTCGTGGCTGCGCCACTCGTGAAATATACCTTTTGGTGCTCACTCGGTGAAATATATTCCGATCTTACACTGAACTAAACAAATATAATAAGATTAATAATAAAAATAATTTCCAAGCTTAAATTATACCATAGCATCTGTCAATTTGAGTTAAATATGATTTCTAAAGGGTCATAACTCTACTTAAATTCACATCTTGATATGATGATTGTGCAGAAGACCAGTGTTCAAAGAAGAAATTTTCTCGGCTCAAACTCAGATCATTGGAAAATTAACAACTGACCAATAAAAATTCTTAGTTTAAGAGTTTGAGCTCAAGGAAAAGCTGTACAACCTTGAAGCCTGGTCATAATTCAATGCTGTCTCAAAATTTAATTGGTGTATGGTATGGTTGCTTTGTTGGCATGGAAACATCAGTCTAAATATTCTACCCAGTCACTCTGTGTGCGACCATACTGAAATCATAGAAAATATTCATGCTTGAAAATGCAAATACATGTATATATGAATAGATATATATATAAATACGATTTTTTTTTACTTAAGTTTTACGTCACACCGACAGTATAGGTCATTTGGCAACTTTCCAGCTTTTTTTTTCTTCAGGCACCTGATTTCCGTCAGCTAGCTGGATAGCTTCCTCACATGAAAGCACCCACAGCGGTGAGGGGCAAGTGGTTTTATTTTTATTGAATCATTCATTATTTGAACAGTTTTTATACAAACCCTATTAGAAAGTCATCCTTAATTAATATTAATTTAGATGTGGTAATGCAACATACAAATAAAACAAGATACTTTACATTTAATGTAAACATATTTTTTGGCTTGATTACAAAGAAAGCATGAATCATTTTAAAACAACTCTCAAATCAGCTTCTTGAAACTAACCAGTATTTGTGTCATACAAGGAAACATGGTTGTTGACTCAAGCGGGGCTTAAACCTGTGACATCTAGGTTTAGAGGTACACACCATAACTATATACATGTAATTATAATTTATAACTGGCAATTGGAAACAATTAGCTGTGCTGTTACAATTAACCAATACCAGCAGTAACCACAATAAAAACATTTCATGTAAAGGTATATCTGTATAACTCATACAACAAAATATTTGCTGTCACTTACTTGTATGTCCAGTAACTCTTTCATACACCGGTTTGTAATTTGTGGATTTGACATGGTGGGAATTTTAAGCATTTCTCCCTGATATGAGATACCCTCTATAGGACTGACTACACATGCTGTACCTGCTCCAAACATCTCTAGTAACTAAACAGTAAATAAAATAAATTTGTATTATATATTCAGTAATATACTGTATAAGTGGATATTTCCATGTGTCAAAAAGTATGCAAATTTAAACTTCCAGACATTTCGCATTAGGTTAGTGAATCATGCAAGGGAAGAATTGAATGCAGGTTGGTTGATAGTTATGCTACAGGAAATTTTTAGTGATTTTCGTTAATTCACGAAATTCGCCAGTATTTCCACGTCACTATTTTAACCAGTTATACAGTAAGAAGTTAACATATGCCTTTAACACCTACAGTCTCTCTCACAGGCATTCAGCACATTTTCCTTGTCAATAATGATATATTGGCAAACAATAAACTCCTATTGAACATTAAGAAAAAAATAACTATCACCCTTTCATTTACTAAAATATTTCTTTATGTTTACATATTTTGAAGTTGTAATGAATTAGCTAAAGAATACATTCCATTCCTTTTTTGACAGAAGCCTGGTTGGAAATGTTTAAAGAAAAATGTTTGGAAATGTATGAAGGAGAGACATTTAAAATGGAACTATTGGTATATCATAACTAAAATTAAAGTTTTTATCTGCTTGGAATACTATCTTATAAATGGCTAGCTCCTAGTGGAGTTTACTATATATGAAAAGATGAGGACCAAAGTAATTTGATAAAGACATAAAATCTGCTTTTCAGGACTCAAGTAAAAATATTACAAAATTGGTGTAATTTAACTTTTTTACAGTATTCTTCCTATCGCAGAGACCTAAATACAGTTTTGTATCCTTTAAGAAGGTAAACTGAGTCCTTGTCGAATACAAGAGCTATTTGTAGTATAGTGTGCTTGACTATTATCGGTCGCTGATCGTACAATAATAGCCTGGATGGATAAAGTAGAATTTTCTAAGTTCTAAAAAAGCCATAATTCTGTAAAAATCAAGTTAGAGTAATGGGCCTTGGTCAGTGACCTCCTATCATGCTCTCAAGTAAGTGTGTAAAGTTGCAACCCATCAATATTTTTGGAGATACCAACTTGCATGCAAAAACCGTATCAAAGTGTGATGTCGACATCTTGGTCAGGACAACTGCTCTATCTATTCTTCGAATAATCGAGCTAAAAACTGAAATATCAAAACTAAAGGTTTATAAAATATCAATGTATGATATCAATTTACCCTATTTTCTCTTAAAGCTTTTGTAACTTCTTTCATGGTGTAATCTCTCTCAGTTACTTTGAATTCTCCCTGTGAAAAAACAACACAACATTTACAATAACTTAAAACATATATGTTGTGTATGAATACTTATAGTAGACAACTTGCTAACTAATATTAAACATGTAACAAAGTTTTCACAAAATATGGAGAGATACTAAGAAGTGCTATTAGAAATCGTGCCATTCAACTTTTAAAGGCACATTATGCTCCGGAAACAAGTAAACTTTTCCTCCATAAGAAGGGGCATATATAGTTTTATAACATATTAATAATGTTTATGACCATCTTAAATGCTTATCAAATGAAGAAATTAGTACTGAATTTGACATAAAAGTAGCAAACTGTAAACAAGAAGCTTGACTTTCATACAAAATACTAAATCGCTTTAATTGTACTGGTTGACAAAAGGCAACAGAAGCAAATGTTGGCTCAAGGAATTTGGCCAATAAGTAACTGTTAGGAAACAAAAACAGGCCAATAAAAATAGAGCGTTTGAGAAATAAAAATAAAAGCATTTCTGGTGCATAATGGGCCTTTAATGTGTAATAATAGTGTTTCATATTTCTGTTGCTGTGCTCTATGCTAAATAAACTTAGCTTTAAGGTTCAAGATTTCAAGATTTTTATTATTCACTCAATACACAATACATTTAAATATGAGATAAATAACAAATTACACATTACACGAGGTTAATAGTATGTAACTCACACATCTTACAAGAGCGAAAAGTTTCATCTGTCAGTTAGTCGAACAAACATAATGGAATTATCACAATTAAATTACATTTACCTGCCGTAAACAATCAATTACAGAATTACTATAATAAATACCAGCACAAGAAACACCATACAGTAGGGACACTGTATGAAGTTTGCTATTCAGCAATGGTTTTCCTTTATATAAATTGGGGATGGCAACGAGTAACCGATTACCCAAGTACTCAATGGACGTCCGAATATCGATTAACAAATTGATATGCTATTACTCGTAAAAATATATAATTTCTATTTTTTGCGAGTTAGAAAGATAAAGTGTATCCAATGAGTTCAGAAATTCTGAGATGTACATGTATCTTCATAAATACCTGTTAAATGCAATCAAAACATCCTTGCAGAGGTGCAAAAATGATATCGTAAATTTAACCAGGCAATCAGCCATCTGACACATGCATGGGATTGAACACCTATGTTGTTTATGTCATGTGGCCTCTTATGATATTTAATTACCTTTAATTGTGTAACAGTTTGTAGCCGAAACTTGTTTTTAAGGTTTAAATGTTGTTTATTTAATTTTCATTAATTTGTGTTTTGGTTAATTCTAAGTTAACTCCCTTGCAGTCCTATTTATAGTTAAGAATTCTATAATTTTAAATAGAAAACAAAAGTAGCTCGCAGACATTGTTGATATTGTAAGATAAAACTCGAGTAATGACTTATCGAGTTCTTGATCGGAAAAATGACCGAGTACTCAAGTATTGATATTGGTTTTCGTTGCCATCCCTATTATAAGTAAGAGAAAATATATTTACCCATTTACGTCCCAGGTCTAGCAGACTTTTCCTGGTTATACCTGGTAACACAAGACCATTTAACGGTGCTGTCACAAGCTCTTTCTCTACAAATGGTAAATGTTTGGTCTATAAATAGTAACATCAAATTAAATACAGCAAAAATTTTGTCACAATTTCTTTCATTGTTTGTCAATGATTTTTCATATCTTGACAGTGTGTCTACCTACACTGTACCTGGCTTGCCTGGATAACTTACCACTAATTATCAATTTTCCTTGCAAGGGACAGACTTCTTATCCCACATGACTACTGAATCAGTGTTGAGAGATAAATGACCATTAGACTCAATGTCCGGGATGAATTGTCACAGAGAAACATCGCCTCACCGTGAACCGAACAAGCAACCCCTTGATTACAAATCCATTGCTCTCTCTCCAATGAGCTCAGATAGCAGACTTTAAATTTTATCAATATATAATGTAAATATATCAATATCAACTGCAAATTTAGGCAATAAATGAAGATATTGGTGGGATATTTTCTAATGGAAATATTACCTCCTTGTTCGTTCACCCAGAAAGTAAACAAGTTCATGGCTCCGACCTCTGTTAACTGATGATCATCCCCAAATAACCAGAGCACCTGTTGGCAGCCATGCTTCTCAGCTTCCTTTTGTATAGCCAATGTTGGGGCATAGTTACTGTATAAATAAAATCAGTATCATGAATTCAAAGTCTACCTAACAAAATATTACCTTGTTTCAAGTTCGTTGTTTGTACATTTTAAACTTTAATGTTTGCTTAATAACTCAGTATGATACAAATAATGCAATAAAAAAAATGCTAATCCATTAACTTAATATGAAACAGAAAACAAGACAATATAGAAGGGGGCGCCTAAACTCACCAACCCATCTTAAATCCCCCAGATCCTCCTGGCCATGCCCTAACAAACTGGGGATCAGCAAGAAGCTTCACTGGTGCCATTCCTGTAGGGTAGTAAGGTCCTACTGGTCCAACTAATACAAACAATTTGGCTTCATTTGAACGTATAACACCTAAAGTTGGCTGTAAACAAAAAAAAGCACATAAAAATGAGTTGATATTTATGATAAAGAATATAATATAATTGTCTTATCCTTTCCTTTCTGACGCAATGTGGTCCATTATTTTCAAGGCATGAAAATATTCAGTGTATAAAGCTATATATCTGGTGCAAGAACTATTTTTGAGTTTGAGTTTTAAAAAAGAATGCTCCAAAATGCTTGTATAATTGTATAATAGAAATAGGTTAGTTACTTGCCTCAATAGCGAACAGCGCATGAACAATATCATTGCTAATTGACCATAATAATATTGAAACAACGAAACTTTACAGTTGCTAAAATTTTATAAAGTATTTCATAACAAATGGCTGTATACCATTTACAAATAAGCAGAAATTCTGAATATAGGGTCTGATCAAACAGTGTGTATGGACAGTCCAGTTATCACAATAGTTAGAGCATTAGACTAGACTATAAATTGGGCAACCTAGGTTCGGTTCCCGGACAGTGCAGGTCACTTTTGTTGTGATTGAACATGAAATCCTTTCTACAGCTATTTGCACTGTACCTCTTTTCTGGCATGTACAGAAGACAGTTATCACTTCCTTGCAAAAGTGAAGGCAACTAATACTGGTAAACTATTTTGACAGCCTGCCCAGAAACTATGCCATGGCTGAATTGTGCTTTGGTTAATACAATGTGGCTAACTGCCGTGACCTGGAGGGTAAACTACCAACACCACCACCACAGTGTGGGTGGCATTGAATTATTCTTCATGGAATGTTAATCTAGCAAACACAACCCATAGGAAAAATCACATTCTAGTGTACATAGTGACAAGCAATGAGAAAGAGGCTGAGGGAAAAAATGTGAGTTACTTTAGCCATAAAGCCTGGCATAAATCTCCCAAGGAGTATTGAATCCTTTATTCAGAGGAGAGTGTCTCTCCTTTACAGGTCTGAAAGACGATTATATATTCCTGATATGATACACACGTGCCTTCATTCACTAGTAAAACTACCATATTGCCTAAACAGTATGACTTCATGTGAATATAAACCAATCCCTTCCTTTCATCCAATTTCTTTTTTTAAACTCCTTGAATGTTTCGTGATTTAATGAGTTGCCCATGCCAACAGTAAATAATTAAAGGCCAATATACAGTCCCATATTGTCTGACCAGACACTCAGTGATGTTTCTCACTATATTGGGAAGAGGCCTCAGCCTCTTGATTTTGGTAAAATTTCAAATTTGTGAACTTCAAGGACCTTTAAGGACTTAACTTGGTTGCATAATATTTAGAAAACATTCTGTTACAGTATTTTTAGCCAGATACACAGAGAAATACAATGTACCTTATTAACAAAATATAAAGAAAGAAAGATCGTAGCTGTTAGCAAAACAAAAGATATTTCTGCTTGTATATACTGACTTTCACCTTCTATGTGAAGCAGGTGCTTTCTCGTATTCTCGTGGAATTTGATTGGCTGTTAAGGCGGGTAGCTATGTGATGATTTTATTCTACATACCAGTTCAATTCATTAGTGCCACTCCTAATTAAGTGTTAAATGGCTTAAATCTGTAATTTTTTGTGTTTTAATAACAGCTTGGCAGGCCATATCAAACTTTTAGGATCATATTGACGCCTCTTTGGTACCAAATGATTTTGATTGTTCCAAAAATAGTTTAAACTCAATTTAGTGTTGTTATTTACATAATCTCTCTGATATATATTAAGTTTACGTTTATTTATTAGTTACTTATTAGTTATATGAGCATTAAACAATGAAAACTACTGTTTTCCATTGCAGTTGTCAAAAATGAAATGTGTTTAGGATAAACAATGTTTCATTATTGGTTTTTAATTGGAGTTCATATCTTTTTTTATACTATCTATTTGTGGAACAAATATTTTGAGCTGTAATGTATAAATAGTTGTGTGAGACCGTCATTTGAAGCGTCTTGCGTCAGAGACCCGCTACAGGTTTCTGCTACATGGCAAAAACTAGAAAATTGATGATTTTGGGGTGAAAATTGATAAATTTAATGTTTATTCTCTGGATTTTATGATTATTTCCACTGTTATTTTGGTTTTATATCTACTTTTGTCGCATTTCTTTTGTTTTTTTAATGGAGATGAAAATGCTCTGCTAAATAGACATGTTTTCGGATATCGACATCGCTTCCATCTGTTTTAATTATTCCACGAGAATACAAGAAACCCCGAGAATACAAGAAACAGATATATTTTGATATTGAATCCCCTTAAAGTAACAACAATGTACAGATCCAAATTAAAAGCTGGACCACTCCAATTCCGATATTGAAAGGCTTAATGAGCTTTTATATAAAGTTTCATGAGTAAAAAAAGGATAAACATTCTGCATAACGTATTCATTAATGACATTGTTAGTTCATACTATACCTCAGTGCCTATAAGTGTTGGTCGTATATAGAGAGAACTTGGTTGGTCTTTTGTTGCTTTAGGAACCCAGTCAGCGTCTATTGATATCAGTTTCTTTATAAGAGAAACAAGTTCTCTACCATCAAACAGCTACAATATACAACAAACAACAATGTCACACAACTTTATTTTAATAAATAAGAATCTTAAAGTGTATAAAGCTACATGTTGTATATACATCTGTCTAAATTGTTTCCTCCTATTTTGCAAAAACTCTTTGTTTTTTCATAATTTAAAGGAAGGGCCCCTCGTGCAAAGTTTTCAAGAGGATACTCGCTAGTACTAAGATATTAAGTTCAAGTTGCATGCAATAAAGTAATTATGTGTATAAAAGTTGCTAATGATGGTGCAGTTGAATGAGAAGGACAGCCCTACCAAACTTTTTCATTTGTATGGATTTTGTCTATAATATCTTAATTTTTACACAGATGCAAAACGTTCAATTCTCGGTGAGGTATAATTCATATCACTCATTTCAAACAAGTTAACACTCTTTTTTATCTACAATTAAGGATAGTCTTACTTCAATGCTTTTCAGTCAAACAAATTCTAACATCGGCCAATATTGTAATAACTCGGTCATTTCCAGAATGTTATTTCTCACTATCTTTGGTATACAATAATTTTTAACTGTTGATACCCGAAATTTGTACATAGGGATAAAGCATGAGTGATTGTATATAATCTTATGCTCAAGACGCTGAAAAAATAATGTTTAGGAAATAATCAATCTGCTACGATATTGGTCAATGTTAGAATTTTTTTTGGCTGGAGAGCATAACTGTGAGTAAGACTACCTTAACATTCAAAACGCTGCATACTCACTGGAAGACATGCCCTTTCCGATGTTGATAACATTCTCTTCATATTCTCCATTGGTCTGAACAATCGGATTTTGTCGTCGTCACCACGGTACGCCTTCATACCTTCAAATAACTGAAAATATTTCTTTCCGTTTAACACTTGGCACAATGATTTCTTTCTTTCTTCAACAATAAAACTGACACATGTGATTTGTTTGGTTTTCAACTTTTCATATGCATTATTCTAAATTCAACGTTACATAATGCAAATTGCTCATGAAAATGTTTTATGGTTAACAAGAAGGGTTGATTATTTTACTGAATTTACCAGTGCCACCATTAATTAATGGCTGCAACAGTAAAATCATTCGTTATGGGTTGTAAATTGCTATGGGAAAATAATACATGTGGTAATGATATGTGCCGTGTTTAACAAATGTTTTTTATAGTTACCTCAGTTGCATAGTGTAAACATTTGGCCCCAGGATGTATTTGAAAATTATGCATCGGACATATGACTGGCTGTCCCCAGCCATTTTCGCTGGTCCAATCAATTTCTAACATATGATCAGAGAAATGATGCCCAAACTTCAACTTGCTAACATCTGGCTTAGGTGCTGGTGATTTGGTTCGTTTAATTTCAACATCTTTTGCCTGAAATACACATGTTATCATGTAACATTTGAGCCGCGTCATGACAAAACCAACATAATGGGTTTGCGACCAGCATGGATCCAGACCAGCTGGCGTATCCGTGCAGTCTGATCAGGATCCATGCTGTTCGCTTACAAACCCTATTACAAGTAGAGAAACTGATAGCGAATAGCATGGATCCTGATCAGACTGCGTGGATGCGCAGGCTGGTCTGGATCCATGCTGGTCACAAACCCATTATGTTGGTTTTGTCATGGCGCGGCTCATTTAGTAAAAGGAAGTGTTTATATAACAATTGTTTGAAGTTCGCTTAAAAAGAAGCATTATTAACTAAATTTATAGTTATGGAAAAATGAATTTGTCAAAAGCCTATTTTCTGGTTTTGTTATACATGAACAAAAAATAATTCTCTCGTTGTGAGGTTGTCTGGTCAAAGTACCGGTATGCGAAAATATACTGTATGTAATTCAATTCTTACTACCACTATCACGCAAATTAAATACCCATCTATCAATTTATGTTCAAATTAATGTCAATAGTACCGGTATCTGAAAAAGATCTTGCAACTTCAATATAAATGTTAAATATTTTGGGTATTTAAAATGCAATTGAATAATTAGCCATATATAAATTTAATACATGTATCTTATATTTACAATGTATACTAAGGTTAAAGTCTGTCATATACATGAAACTGAACCAGAATACATGTAATTGAAAACTTTGTTCAAACTTTATACTCCAAACCAATATTACATGTAGGTATATCAAGATCTGACGTCTGACAAATTTTGGTGTTGGATTAATCTCAAAGCTGGTCAACAAAACAAGACTCATGCTGAAGTTAACAAATAAGAATAAAACATCATCCTGATCAGGGACCTACAGACTGTCACTGTCATCAAACCAAAAACATGTTTCAATTTTCAAGTTAAACTGTTAATACACCAGTGTTTAAAAAGGAAGACCTTGCAAATCTACATTTGTATCAAAAAGGGGATATAATTCAGAGACACTCTACTATAAGAGTTATGGGTCTTGGAAGTTGGATAGTTATGAACAGTTACTAACTTACAGTTCATTTCTTAAGAATACCTAAAAAGCATGTTCATATTATAATTAACATTGCAATGCAAACAGGATTAAGATTTACCCAATTTTCTTCAAAAAAGTGATGAAGTTGACTGAATATATATGTAAGACCAGGTATAAGTTATTGATAGACAGAATAACATGGATATGTAATTAAAGATAACACTGGCCACTTTTAAGCTTATTTCATGTTGATAATTACCTTGAAGGAGGGTACTGTACTTGAAGCATAACACCGGAAGATTTGTCTTTGCACACACTGACCCAAAAAACACCGAGACACATTCTGAAATGAAAAATTGATTCAATTTAAACTCTTACAATGTTGCAACTGAAACTTCAATGCTTTTGCCACCAGTATAGAGCCAGATAGGAAAGCCTGCACAACTCAGCAATCTGACCAGCTTAAATGCTGATCAGTAATTGCTGTATTCAATCAAATAAGGCAAAAAATTAAATTATGTTTTCAAACAAGTTTAAGATATTCGCAATTAATTTAAATCCATTTTGATACAATAAAAAATTACCAACCACTAATTAGATTAATTAAACTTTCTTTCGTCACAATGAAGGCGAAACATATACAGTGGCAATCAGATCTACATGTAAGAAATAAGGAGATCTGAACCTTAGTCAGGTTGATGAATTTGCCAACCATTAATCTGTGTCTATGCAACTGCTATGCAATGGACATAAAAGATGGTGCCAACTTTATAGCTTTATAGATGTATATATATTTAATATACACATATATTTAGCCATTTACTTACTGTTGGTTGTAAATTTACACCATTGATGTGACTTTGCATGTACTACCTACAGTCAAATACAGTAAGACTAATTCAGGATGTATACTTTTAAATCATCTGATTAAAGAGTAGCAGATGGTTGTGTAAATTATGCTCAGTTAATTGCCATACAATTTTTACATTAATTGGAAAATTACAAGGGTACATTTTAGAAAAAAATATACTGATGTGCCAAAGCTAGATTCTGTGATATTTTTGTTCTTGGTCAGAATCTTGCTTCTACTTAGAGGCAATATATTGCCCAGACACAAAATAGCACAATATCTCGTTGCACAGTACAATCAGTTGGACTAGGGTACATTTCAATGTACATGTACAATGGCACTGTTTATAATCATGTCACTAAATGAGATAATTGCAGTCAGTTATCAGCTTTAACTGTACATAACCAATCAAGTTTTAGCCATGATGCTGGCTGCACAGAGTGGAGGATTAAATTTCATTGACAAGCACTGTGTGTTATGTAGACATCTGTATGTGGAAAGTAATAGGACTTGGCACACTCATTTTTCACTCTGAAGTTCAAATTGACAAAGTTCATAAACTTTAAGCAACTTAGTTGTTCAACATACCCTTTGCTGTAGCTTAGCCCTTTCTGATCCAAGACAGAGCCAACCACATAGATTTTACCCTCAGAAGGAATTAAGTGATTAAGTTAACTCATGTCTTGATAAATCAGGGTCTTTAAAATCAAATAGAAAGATCCTGGTGTGTTTGTTCGTTTTTGGGTTTTACATCACATCGACACAGTATAGGTCATATCGCGATGTTCCAGCTTTACTGGTGGAGGAAGACCTCAGGTGCCCCTCCGTGCATTATTTTAGGCATGAACGGGCACCTGAGTAGAACCACTGACGTTCCGTAAGCTAGCTATATAGTTTCTTTACATGAAAGAATCAGGGCTCTCAGTAGGGTCAGAATTTCACGAGTCAAAGACTCTTTGGCCAAAATTTTCGGAAGACGGACAAAACCCCACCAGTTAAAACCCCACCACTCAAAATTTTATAGAGTGGACAAAACCCCAACACTAAATTTTATAGAGTGGACAAAACCCCACCACTAAATTTTACAGAGTGGACAAAACCCCACCACTTACCAATTATTGGGCAAGATTTGATGAATTAAAATATATATAATATACAGTACACATCTTCACATTTTATTTTTTAATTTCAATTTTAAGAGATTATACAAATAATTTACAAACTGTTAAATCAACATCAAAGAGCAGTCATTTATTTGAGACTGTGCCACATTTATGACCTTGAATTATCCATTATTTTTAGTTTCTTCAAATTCATTTCTTCAATTTATTTATATAGAAGATAAACTACTTACTATTAATCAAGAATGAAGCACATTTTCATCAATTAATGATTAAAAAATAGCACATTTTTATAGCACATTTTTTAATTTATTCAGTTCAGTCAATTTTCCTTCATTGTACTTCATTGTACTTAGTTTAAGTGGATACTGTGGCTGATAGCCTATAGAAACTCGGGTACGGTCTTCTCCTTATTGATGAGTTGTTCACACATTCTTTTGAGTTTTGCTGATGCACAATTGTTAGTTTTTTAACATGTTTACAAGAAAGTTTTGTCCACTCTATAAAACTGAAGTGGTGGGGTTTTGTCCACTGTGTAAAATTAAGTGGTGGGGTTTTGTCCACTCTATAAGATTTAGTGGTGGGGTTTTGTCCACTCTATAAAATTTTGAGTGGTGGGGTTTTAACTGGTGGGGTTTTGTCCTACATTCAAAATTTTCATGAGTCAAATAATTTTTTTCTAGTGTCATTTGACTACATGAATCATTTTTCTGTTACAAAAATTACTGTATTGGAGGTCATTTTGTGTAGATTCTCAAGTCGAAATTGATAATGTTTAACATTGAAAAAATGCCTAGTTATAATGTATATTCCCCCCCAAAAAAAGACAGACAACAAAAAACAAAAAAAATGAATTGCATCTTACTGTGAAAGAATAAATTAAGCAGCAGCTTTTCTGATTAAAAGTTTAAAATATAAAAAATATCTTTACTGGTATGCTATATATCATATTAATTTTAAATACCAAAATGCACTAGGAATATTTAATGGAAATAACAAATGTACAGGCACTCCAAGTAAATCAAAGACGTATCAGCAATCAATAATTGACACCTCAAGTATGTAATTCTTATCAGTTGTGTAGAGCTACATTATTTTTAGCGCTGTCAAATTGCATCCACTGATGTCACGCTTCAGTGCACAGGCTATAAACAATGCTGTGTATTACACACGGTGACATTTTTTTGAGTGTGATTTGAACATATGTAGGATTTGATAGGTAATTAGGAGTAGATTTAAGGTAATTATTATTGCATAGCTGAAAATCCCACGTGGCAAATTGACTCTTGTGCAGATTTTATCACGTGTCAAATTTGTGCATTTGCAGATTTTCACGAGTCAAAACCCGGATCCCCGTGTCAATTGAGAGCCCTGAGAATCCAAGTTTTTGTCGGGCTTCGAACCCACAGCGTTGAGGGGCAAGTGGTTAGAAGTCAACGACCTTAACCACTCGGCCACGGACGCCCCTTTCCTGGTGTGTAGTCCAACTAGTTGGACTATTTAGCAACAAGATATTGTGCTATTTTGTGTATCTTCTCACATCCCCTCGGAGCGTGCACGTCGCTGAGAAGGCACAGGGCATTAGCAGATGATGGAAGTTCGAGTTATAATCGTTTAAGGCGGCTGCTTCGTTAAGTTAGCTGCCGGTGTCCTGACTAATGGCAGTAATGCCGAGGGGAGTGGCCCTACAAAGTAGGCTGAGACGACGAGGATGGTGTACTAGGGTGCGTGAGCCCCTAGTACAGATAGACGGCTTGTAAGGCAGGCCTATAGCTGGCACCAACAGCCCTTTTCAGGGCTAAACACCTTTCCTATATTGTCACAGGTTACTGTACATTTAGGCTCTCATTGACCGCCGTACAGTGACCTACTTTTCGGCTCAAAATTCATATCTTTGGCTAATACTCCGTGGAAATTGCATGGAGGTAAATTATCACCATTTTGTGCTTCAAAATTAACTCTTTAAGGACATGACTGGTGACATGTCCGGGGTCCGTACTCGACAGCGCAAGCTGGGCCATCCATAAAAAAATGTTCGTTTGCAGTAACGCGACCGACTCACAAAATTTGCCCCTACTCAAATTTTTTTTTCATGGTCAGGATAATTTTTTTTTTTTTTGAATCAGAAAATTATGCCTTGTGCTTTGTTTTCGTTCTTTTAAAGGTTTATAGAAGAAATAAAATGTAGGTCTTATTAAATTAGAATTCAGTTATCAATTTATTTATTGTTACCAGATAAACAAAGCATATATTGTCCATCATGTTGAAATTCCATGTTTATTTGGAAGTACAGTTCAAAAAAAAAAAAAAAAAAAAAAAAAAAAAATCGACCTACCTACCCACCTTGAAAATTCTGGGTCGGGTTACTGCAAACAAACATTTTTTTAAGGATGGCCCTGCATTTTGTGCCCGAAAGGGCGGTTGACCCTCATTAAGCTTTAACTTACATACATACTATTTTGTGTATGGGCAATATCACAAGATTCTAACCCAGAACAAACATATCTCTGAATCTAGCTTTTGCACATCAATATAATTTATTAATTATATATTTTGACTACATGGGATATAAAATGTATGTTTGGGTATGTTTTAGATGATACTGACAAGAAACATAGAATAGCATATACTTATGATTCTTCTTTTCATGAACTTAATAACAGTGTGATTTACCGTAATAGAAAATTTAATCGAATGCGTAAAATAATTCCAGGTCAAGGGCAAAAAAAAAATCCAAAAAAATCTACAAATAAAAAAAATAATTTCTTTAAATTTAAAGGTACTATTTCAAGACGCCAGTATAAAAAAAAACATATTCAAGTTAAAAAAAGGATAATAAAATGATCATATCATTAATATACTTAATATGCAAATCATTTGACAATGGAGCGGGGAAAAAATAAAATGAAATATTTACAAATATTCCAGTTACAGCCATATTTGAAGGGGGCACTACTCTTGCATCATCAATTACAAATCGGGTATTTCCGTATTTCACGGAGTTATGCGAATCCGAAAATTGACGGAAAGAGCCGAAAAGTTACACAAAAATTATGTTACGTGACAACAAACTACGTATGGGATAGTGATCTGATAAACTACCTAATTATATATACATCTAAAAGCCATGTACTTAAGATAACTAATCGAAAATGGAAAATAGGAATAGTTGATTACTAGTAATTCTTGAAAATGATCAGACAAGGGTAGACAGGACTAAGACCCTAGCTGGGAGTAGTGGTAATTTACTTGGTTTAAAGAAGCACTTATCACGTACGCACCATGCCATCTGGACATGGTCGCGATCGCTTTTGCCGGCTCGCCACGGCGAGCCGGTATTACGGTAGGATTTTACTGAGAAACAGCCTAAAACTCCGAAGCTATCCAAAAATTTAATCGAAGCTTGGCTTCCAGCTTTCTACAAAATTTATCTATCAGGGCTAGGATCCAAAATTATTTAGCCAATCAAATTTAATCTTACATAGCGTCAAAAAACCTTCAATTTTCACGCCATTTTTAAAAATCAGCAAGTATTGTTTTGAGCGCAAAGATATATAAAGATGATTAAAATGTTTGTCTTTATGAATTCTTTTCAATAAATCATATTTACACTGACTTCTGATTTAGCGATTTCACCTGTTTTCTCTGTAGTAAGTATTCGTTTGGTTAATTAACATAAGTGTACATCTGGTTCTGTGCATTTTTTATTTTTCCTTTTTTCCGGTCATTTTATCCTTTCCGGTATTTAGTGTATGTATTTACTGGCCGGGATCCGGGACGCGCCCGGGATCCGGGATCGTATAAGATATGAAGGAAAAACCTAATGAACTATATTTGTGTTGATTGTTGTCGTAATGAAAGGCCATTAAACGTTAATTTTTTATTGTATATAATGAACGTTAAATTAATTTAACTTAGAATATAGATATATTTAGAGCTATTTATTAACAAATTTAAAATGCGGAAATCACAATACTTATAATTATATGCCTAATTAATTGGAAAAATCATCGACTATTTTCTTGAATTGGTCAAATCCCGGGATCCCTATATGTTTTAAAACGATCCCAGCTTTTCTGAAAACTATATACTTGAACTGGCCAATCCGTGAGATCTATTTACATTTTAATACGATCCCGGCTTTTCTGAAAACTATATTCTTGAACTGGTCAATTCCCGGGATCCCTATATGTTTTAATAGGATCCCGGCTTATCTGAAAAACATCTTCTTAGACTGGTCAATTTCCGGGATCCCTATATTTTTTAATAGGATCCCGGCTTTTCTGGCTGAATTGATTGACAACTTGTGTTTACTTTAGGACTTGTGCCTCTCATTCCAATACTAAATAACAAACATGTATTACAACTTAATTTTGTATAAAGAGACATCTTTATGAAATCTGCCTATCTAACATTTTGTGGTCAAGGTCAACAGGCCATATAGTAAATGTGCATAGACATAGGTTCTTCATTCTATCTGTTTACATACACCTTCATATATACTCATACTCATCTTGGTTAAACTGAGAGAACTTTATATGTCACTTTCAGTCAATGAGTTTAAGATTTTGAATTTACTGGCCCGAATTCCAGTTTTGAATTTATTCTACTAAATAATTAATAAAATTTTCTTAAATTTACACTGGCCTGAACTTATATACACTGGCCATCGGGCACCGGGCCAGTGTTGACTTCACTTTTATTTTGATGTTCACTGAAGTCTCTTCAGCTTACAGAACTGTCATTTTTACATTTAAACACACCCCTTGAAAAAAATTACGAAGCGAGTCGCTACTAGCTTTTTTAAAAGCTAACCTTGTCATAGGATATACTGTACTCTGTATAGTCAAGCTAAAATGATGTGCATAGCAAATTAATATTGAGATTATGCACTTTTTTCTCCTATGTCGGAAGCTGGTTGCTATGGAAACAATCTTAAATATAATCAAAATATGCCATATCAAGCATATATATATTATGATAACTCTTAATTATAAGTATTGAAAATATTTTTTGTGAAACTTGAATTGTGCATGTATAGAATATTGGCATAATGGGGATTATTCACACCCTTTTAGCTTGACCATACTGAGTAGGCCTATATGGAGAGCTTTCCTACTCACTTATATATAGCGTCATCGACCGTGTGCAGTAAAATATTGTTTACTACATTTTTATGCCATATACCTATATCAAGTTTCATAAAAGTATTTTCAGTACATTAATTTGGAGAAATCACGGGATACAGTCTTTGCGGACGGACGGACGTTCTAATGGGACAGTAATAATGTGGCTACCCTATTGTTCTCTCTATTGTTCTTTTTAGCCTCACAAAAGAAATCATTACGGAACGAATATCATCAAATAGCAAAAACAGTTACGTATTGTCCCTATAGCCACATTATTACTGTCCTGTGAGAGCAGACTGACTGACTGACGGACAACCAGATGGACAGAGGGCAAACTTAAAGTCCCCTTAAACCAGTACATAGCTCTAGGGGACTGAAAATTGGACTCTTGGCGGGTCATGTTATGTGATTTCTCAAGATTATGTGTACTCATCCTCACGTATTGTACAGTTGATATTTTATTGCATGATTACAACTGAGAGGATAATAATTATAATGTAATACACATATCTAACTGATTAACCCCGATGGTGCTATACAGCAGAAGAAAACATAAATAACTGAAAAACATTAGTTTGTAAAATGAAAAAAAAACAAAAACAAAACAAAAAAACAACCATTTACGAATATAATACTATAGAGAAAAATCCAAAGTATCAAATTAAGCGCAAGATAAGCTTGTGTTAATCATTTCGAAACAGGTATTATTGACATTATAGTCATTTTCATAGGTCATATAATTCCATAGCTTATAGATAAGCATAAATAAACATCTTTTTAGACACATGCAATTTAATTCATTAAATTAAGACATAATCAAAATGAACACGATTGAAATAGTCCAAACACTTTACATTTAATGTATTTGTATCACGTAAAAAGAGCTGAATATAATTTTATGCATGAATATAATTATAATTAACTTACTTACGTATACAGTTTGTTCGAACACACATTATATAACTAATCACTTCTCACAGGTGAACATATTTCAAGGATGGATACCTGATAAATATTTTTGATAAAAACACTGTGTCACATTTAATGACTGGCGTTACATTTTATTTATCAGCCTAAGACGTGGAAGTAGAACATGACCTAGAGATAAAAATTAGATAGAGACCCAAAAATGTTGATACAACAAAGATGTTCGTTGTTTTAGTACAAGCTGTGTGGGAAACTCGATCATTATAACAATGAAAAGATTAGAGGTTGCGAAAATAACTGTTATATTTTGTCATGCATTTGCTTATTAAAGTTACATTAAATAAATATGTTAAAATATTTTTGCCGTCGGTCTGAAAACCAAGCATTCTACAGTTTCATTAACCTTTTTAACAGTATCGTTGTAAATCTCATCAAATATTGTTCATAAATTAGGATTTTAAATGGGAAACCCCGCGGTAACACTAAAGTTCGTATACGAATTTTAACATGCAAATGAAGACTATAATCAGCTCGTGTATGCGCTACGTCACGGAGTTATAGTTGCTATCCGGAACACAGCAAATATAAAATTTTCTTGTGCAAACACACTTTACCGTGCACTAGGCCTGTGGTTCAGAAAAAATAATCATCTCATAAAAAAGATTAAATTTGTATGAAAATATCCGTTACAATGCGGAAATATACCGTTAAATTGGGACTGCTACTTATAGTCATGTTTGTTGATTTACGTAATATTGATGTACGGATGATCTGAAGGCGGAGTTTCTCATGCAAACAGAAATTGTACTTCCGAATTCGCCACAATGAGGTTGCACATTTGTATGCTCATTAAACTCATTTTGGTTGCCTGGACACCAAAATAAGATCTGGAGTCGATATGAAACCCAATTTTTTTATATTTTATTATTATTATTATAATTACTATCATTTATTTATTTATTTGTCAAGAGGATGAAAATCTGAAGAGATTGGTCAGCTTTTGATCTCGTTTACATTGTCATTTTAGAATCAAGAGAATAACTAAATTCCGGACCGGATAAAACGAGTACGCCCCCAGATACATTCAAGTGGAATACCAATAGGTCACTTGCTATTTTTAGAAACACATGCGTAAATACCCATGTCTATTTTAGTATCACGCTGGAATTCCATAACGTGTATTTGTAATTAGAAATTACGATCTTGGACAGAATGGCGTAGGAAGGATGATTGTTTGAAATAATAAAGGTATTTACAATCCTTACTTACTCATTTTATGTCATTTTGCAGTGTCAACAGGTTTTTGTTCATTATTTCAATATATATATCCATGGACCTTGAAAAATCTCGAGTGACTGAGTCATGCCAGAGACGTATACCTCCCTGGCTAAATCTGAACATTTTGCAATGTTCATAGCAACATCACATGATGTATAATGCATAGAAGTTACATCTATTTAACCATCATCGGACTGAATGTTATTATGAATGTCGTCAAAAGTTATTTAAAATGAATTTATTTATGAAAAAGTATAAAATTCTAAAAGGCCCTATGATATGACTAATATTTGGGTTTTCATTTTTGTGATTTCTTTGGAGAAGAGTAGAGCAGATATTAATCAAATATCTTTGCGTAAGATCTTATGCTTTAAGTTTGTTAAGGTATTTTTGCTTGCTTTAATTAGATCTATACACAAAGGCGCAGTTGATATATACAATTCTAACTATTAAAGATGTCATATTAATTAATGTGCTATTGTATATTGGCATATTGGGCAAGTTTTGTCAAAAGGCTAAATATCCCAAAGGGTAACCTACATTTTAACAAGAAACAAACAAACACAAATTAAATGAGCACACTTTTTAAGTTCATATATAGGACTTATAGGCTAGGCATTTTAGCTAAAAATAAGACCCAACCTCAAACAAATTCCTTCAGAAAAGATATTTGCATATTTGTTATCTACTATATATGTGTTGCTACAGGAAAAAAGTC